AGAGCTGTTTGGGAAGGAGGGATTCGTAAAATTCTGAGAAAGCCTTTTCTGAAAGCCTGAAAGATTTTCTGAGAAAGCCAAAGTGATAAACAAGTACAGATTTCTGAATTGAATTCTGAATATCTTTTATGACATTCATGTACTCTCACATTTCATTTAGCTGTGCACCGTGAACTTTGAGGTGAACTTTCATGAACTGGCACACTAACAATAACGCCATGGAACAAAGCCTAACACATAGCAAAGTATTAGCAAAGAAAATTGAAAGGCTAGGGTTTAGCAAATTTTTCCATATACAAATCTCATCTATGTTTGTTTGTCATAGTCTATTCTTCAACGGATGCCTAGAATTTCGCTTCGATTTATTGTCATCGAGAAAAACAAGATATCCGTTAAGGAAACTCCAATGTTTCAACTTTCCAATCCGACAAATCTTTTACAAAATAACAAAAAACGACCAAATCTCTCGAAAATAAACAACAAGAAGTGCTCGATTTCTTCGTGTGTTCTCCTTCTTCTTCTCCTTCTACTTCTCCTTCTACTTCTCCTTCTTCTTCTCCTCCTCCTTCTCCTCCTTCTTCTTCTCCTTCTTCTTCTCCTTCTTCTCCTCCTTCTTCTTCTTCTCCTTCTTCCATTTCCAGTGTACCTCTTCCTTTCCCCTTTTTCTTATCACTTATTTCCTCTTTTTCTTTGCCAACTCGTGGTGTGGGAAAATCGCGAAAAATCATTAAGCCTCTCCATTTCCCCTTTTTTTTTCGTTTTTGTTCATTTTGAGTGAATAGATCTCCTTCCCATAATTCCAAACATATGACTGACTGCCTTCCAAATGTTGAAGATGTTTTTGTTTAATGGAAAAGTGCTAGCTTGTTTTTATTTTAACGCTCAATTAGCTCATTTTTTTCGGGAACCACCTGATTGCATGATTCTTTGTAATGATAGAGTGGAGATGTTAGAGTTGAAACTCAACTCTAACCAATTATATTACCTTCTAATCATCGAAAATAAACCAGGGTTTTAATTATACTTTTCAGCAAGCTTTTTTTCCATCAAAGGCGGTGATTAGTCGGGGCAAATTTCAGCGAAATTTCTCTATTCCAAACTGTATTCCGAGCAAAGTTTGCTCGAGTAAAGCGATAAAAAGCATAGTTGCAAATTTAGGTTCCAAATTCCGAATTCAAGAGATTGTAGCCAAGGTACAAAGGCTTTCTTGACAAATAGTATCTACCGTAAATACTGTAATAGTATCCCACCCCCATAATGACGGTGCGGAGTGTTGTGAGTCTAGCTTTGAACGAGTTTTTCCTCGACACTGGTTTATGCTACAATGCGCGCTTAGGTATCAAAAAAATAGCCCTGAATTTCAGCTATTTTTTGATACCAAAGACGCATTTTTTGAAAGTAAGGGCGCTTTGAAAAAAATGAAATACTAAAAAACTTTTGCGACTACGCGACTGTACGGGGGGTGGGGTACTATTACAGTATTTACGGTACGCTACAGTACACAAATATTTTACTGGCATACTGTAGACTGTACATGATCTGTTAAAAGACCAAAATCCAAACCTTTACGATTTCTTCTTGAAGATCAATACTTATTCCAATACCGCTTTCTTTTTCCTTTTCTTCATTGCAATGGGTGAATATGTATGAGTGCTTTTGATTGTTCTTTGTTTGGAATTCGATGTGGATAAAGAGGTAAAGAAAAAGGAGAACAAAATGTCCCTTGTTTGTCCTTTTTTTTTCTTTTTTGTCCCAAATCGTCCAGAGAAATCGGGAGCAATTTCCTGAAATCTGAAATCTCATCCTCCGCTTTCTTTCCTCATTCCCCATTTTTACTCCCCGATCCAAAAGCTTCCATTTCTCCCAATTTCAAAACCACTTTTCAATTCGGCATTGAATTTTTGACTTTTGACTTTGCAGGCATTGTAGTTGTCCAAGTTATATAATAATAATAAAATCATTAAGGGAAGTAAGGTATCTGATGGTCATTGGTATCTGATAGTCACTGGTATCTGATCTGGTAATAACCCTGAGATTAGGCAATCACTTTTTTTCTTTGATGACTAAGCTTTTTCAACCCGCAAATTATTGATGAAGTCAGTGAGAATCGAAGCAACAGACGTTCATTTCTTTCTTTTTTTTTTGTTTCTCTCAATTTTTGAGCCCTTTGATAGATGAAGTGACTCTTGAGATATGAGTTGAAGCCTTTTATTGCTTTCTTTCCTTTTCTTGCCTTCTTTCCTTTTCTTGCCTTCTTTCCTTTTCTTGCTTTCTTTCTTTTTCTTCCTCCCCCGTAACCCGTATTGAATGACATCTTTGAGGTATTTATTTGTATTGAGGTATTGGTAAAAAGAATACTTGCAAGAGAAAGATACCTAGACATCGAATTGGATTTTGCTTCTTTTAGGAAAGATAGTAAATGATCAATTAGCTGTAAAAGTTAATCAGTTTGACCCAAAGGTAACTTCTTTAGGACTTAATCAAAGAATACATCAAGTAAACTTATATTTCTTTGGCTATTTGACACTTCATACTTTTTACCTTGGCTATTTCAAAAAACCAGGCTTGATCTTGATTTGGCCAAATCAAGATCTCTTTAGAGTCTTGGTTTGGCCACATCGGCTTACCCAGCTAGATTTTGAGCAGAAGCTAAACCAGCAAAGTAAGCAGAAGCTAAACCTAACTGGAATTAAGCTAAGTTGAATTTTCTTGAACCGGATCAGAAAGTTTGGAACCGATGACAACCGCCAGATATCGGTATGATACTTCCTGTCAGATATCGGAATGATATTTGTATTTGTTTGATGTGGGCGGGACGAAAAGAGACGAAAAGACAAAGAATTTTCTATTTCTTTTCATCTTTTCTCTTGTTGATACGAATTTTTGAAAAATATCGACAAACGCGTTCACGTCATCGACGTCATTTCTTTCATTCAACGAAAACTGACCCAGCTATTCAAACTGACCCAGCTATTCGTCTGCTAAACTTTAAGATTTCAATCTTTAGCTAAAAACTAGCTTAACTTTGAATTACAGTCTTTAACCAAGATCGTTTTAAAACAAAGCCAAATCAGTCGCATAAAATTTTATTCTCATTTTGATGAACTTTCTTCTCGTCTGACTACCATTTCACTAAAACTTTCCAGTTAGATTTGCTTATTTGGCATTGGCTTTGTTCTGAAAAACTTTGTTCCACTCAGATCTCAGTAAACCATTTTTATCCTGTCTGACCATTGAATGAGCTTATTTTTTTGTGAATCTGCGTTCTCTGACAGCTTGCATTTTTCCATAACCTTTCAGGCCTTGATCATTTGATTCTTTTGATCTTTTTTAACACCAAAATCACTCTATGGTCTATTCTTCATTGGCCAATTCAACCAATTCAATTCCAATTCAAGTTTCAATCCCAATTTTCCGATTAATCTCACTCCCTCCTTTTAAACTCAAAAATGGATATTAATGGATCAAAAAACCAAGGCAACACTTCAATCTTTTCTAAAATTAGATGTAAAAAATTTTGAAAGGTTTATTTTATCCATTTTATTCAGTCGTTTTTGAACCTTTCCTCAATCCAACCATTCATCAGCTTTTTTCTCATCCTAATCATTGATTCTCTTATCCCATTTTGTCACCAGTTTCCCCCCAAAAGTCCATTCCATTTTTATCATTGTCGACTGATTTTAAAAATGATTTTTCTTCCGGAAATTGGCCTCGTTTCCCACACGTTTCCTGTCACAATCCCTTGTGGTCAAAAGATTCGTCTTCTTTTTCTCTTCTTCTTCCTTTTTTTTCTTCCTTTTTCTTCTTTGTGAGAATATTTCCCCATATTTTCATACTTTTCTTTGTCCACTTCGACAGAAATGGCTAAGAATTTTGCAGAATTTGGTTCTTTCAACGAAACAACGTTTCCTATTGCAATTGGCTTCGGGAAACTGAAATGATGAATCGATCCAAGATCCTTCTTGGATGATGAATCGTTCCAAGAATTCGTGTACAGTACACACACTGGATTTAGATAATGTGTGGAGACTTTATTCATAAGATAAAGTCGATATTGAAAAAGAGACACTTAAAGCAATAAGGGTACTGTATCGTTTCTTTAGAGCTTACTTTGCACTAAACCACACCCAACTCCCAGCCTTTACACCATCATTGACATTTGGGCTATTCTGTCTAATCAAACACCACATTTTCTCCCCAACAAACCTTTACATTTCTGGAATTCAATTACAAAACCATCAACCCATTTCAAAACTTTTCTCTCTCCTCAATTTTCACTCCAAATTCCCCGGTGGTTCTTTTTTTTGATAAATTCTCGTGTCGATAAGTGATTCTGAAATGGGTCTGATTAAACATTTTCTTTTCCTTTTTTATTTCCTTTTTTCTTTTCCTTTTCCCTTTCATTATCTCATTTTTTTTTCCTTTAATAAACACTGGTTTTCACCAATGATTTCCCCGACAAAAAACGCCTAAAAATGTTGTTTTGTTTTGTGTGGATGTGTGCTTATAGTTAGGGGAGAATGACCGATTTTGGTGGTTTAGGAATGGTAAATCTTTTGGAAATGTTCAATCATCACTTCATAGCGATTTCTAACAGCAAGCAAGAGATTTTTCAAGCGAAGCCAAAGCTTGACTAGCTTGGCTCTTGACTAGCTTGGCTCTTGACTAGCTTGGCTCTTGACTAGCTTGGCTCTTGACTATTGGCTCTTGACTAGTTGGCTCTTGACTAGCTTGGCTCTTGACTAGCTTGGCTCTTGACTAGCTTGGCTCTTGACTAGCTTGGCTCTTGACTAGCTTGGCTCTTGACTAGCTTGGCTCTTGACTAGCTTGGCTCTTGACTAGCTTGGCTCTTGACTAGCTTGGCTCTTGACTAGCTTGGCTCTTGGCTAGCGCTGGCTCTTGACTTTTCTTTATTCAATCTGTATCAAACCGTTTTCCTATCCTGTTCTTTGATCTCATTATCATAAGTCATTCCTACGAATTCCCTTTTCAGAACCGTAATGAACCAACTCGCTGCGACCACAATCAATCCCATCATAAGCACTCTTCCAATCAATTTGAGTGAAGCCTTTTTCGATGAGGATTTTTGCGGTTTAGAGGATCGATCACTCCTTGATGTACCGGTGATCAGGTTTGTGAATCACAATTAAATATGTAAGTGAGAGATTTTGATATCTTTAGCTTTTCATCTAATTTGTTAGACATCAAACTTTAACCTGAGACTTTCAGATACACTTTCTGGGTCCTTTACATCATTGTTTTTGTCGGATGTCTATTTGGTGAGTTGTCTTTGGAATCAGTATGATTGTTAGAACAAGAAGCAGTAACATGTTATCCATTGCCTGTTATCCATTACCTGTTATCCATTACCTGCTATCCATTACCTGCTAACCATTACCTGTTATCCATTACCTGTTATCCATTACCTGTTACCATTACCATTACTCATTCCCCATTCAGGTAATCTCTTCACAATTCTCGTCCTTTGCACTCATCCATCAATGCGAACGCCTACCAATTTCTTCTTAGCTAATTTGGTAAGTCTTTCTATAATTCTAATATTTTATTTGTTTAGGCGGGAGCTGACCTCTTGGTGGCATTGTTTTGCATTTTACAGAACATGATTCACATCGTTGGACACGAGAACGGGAATTGGTTCTTTGGTGGGTGAAATTATATACAAAACTGGAAATTTGATATAAATTTTGAGTTTAACAAAAATCAAGATCGAAATTCTTTCAGGTGCCGCTTTCTGTAAAGCGTATCTCTACGTGTTACATATGGTGCCATGCACAAGTGTTGGGTCAGTTTTCCAAGCACTCTTCAAAAATCCCCCCAAACTTTAGTATTTTGATGTGTGTCTCGATTGAGAAGTACATAGCCGTATTGCATCCACTTGTGGCATTAAAGGTATTCAAGAGATTCTTGTCAGCTATTCTTGTCAGCTATTCTTGTCAGCTATCCTTGTCAGCTATTCAATTGTCACCTAAAATCTGTTTAGACTTTAACGAAACGCTTACGAACAATGCTGGCCATTGGGGTGTGGACAATATCGTTGATCGCGAATTTCCCATTTCTCAAAACAGCGCAACTCTACACTTTTGACTCGAAAAGTTTCGCGTGTGGAAGGGATCATGAATACAGGTGGGATAAGATAAGATAAGTGGGATAATTGGGATAAGAAAGAACAAGACATTCAGTATTCAGTAGACAAAGACAAAAACAAGGGAATAATGTGCCAAAATGAGAAAATGAGATTTTTTCACCAACCCAATAGTATCATTAGTCAATCAAATAAATTCAAAGATTCTTCAAGCAGTGTTAATAGCGGACTCTGTGTCAATAGAGTGTTAGCTTTGAGATTTAGAGTGGAGTTCAGTAGAGAAGGGAATTCAGTAGTTACTTTAGTAAAGGTTACTGTAGTAAGCCAGTCTGTCTTACTACAGTAACCTTTACTACAGTAACCTTGTTAAAACCGATTTCTTTCAATTTCAGTCTTGAATTGTTGGTTGTCGTTTCATTTGTTCTTTGGTATGTGATCCCAGTTCTCACACTGGCTTTTATCTACACGAGAATTGGATTGGTTTTGTGGAAAAGTGGAGAAGGAATCTCGAATAGAGCTAGTACAGGTTTGAGCGATTTTTTGGATCCAATCATATCTAGATATAGATTGTCAGCAGATTCCATTCATTTTCAGAATCTCAAACCTCGGGAAATGGTGGACCCGGTTCGTCTTGGTATATGAGCAATGGACGGGTGATTGTCTATCAACAGAATAGCTTATTGCAGGTATTCATTTATTCTTCAATACTCATAATAAAGCAAAAACAAGTACAGCTAACGTTTTAGGTGCCTGATAACGATCAACGACGAGCTACCGAGAAGCGTCGTGAAGTGAGAGAGAGTAGAAGAAAAGTGAGGAACTAAACCAGTTCAGACATAAGAATAAACATCTTTGCCATCTTTGCCATCTTTGCCATTCAATAATTCTAAAAGATTCCAGGTAATCCGTCTCCTTTTTGCCATTGTCCTCTCATTCGCTGTCTTCACTCTTCCGCATCATTTCCGATTACTGCACTCGGTAAAAGAATTTATTCAAATTTCAAAATTCCTGAAATCATTCTGTTTAGACGTTCTCGAAATCACACACTTGTCTCTGGCATTGGTCGCATCTCTTCCAACCTCTTTCCTATCTTTCTCTCTTTTTCTCATCAACAATCAATCCAATTCTCTATGCTTTTCTTTCAAAACGATTCCGAGCTGCTGCACAGGATTTCTTGCATTGCAGGTTGGTTCTGAACAAATCCCTTTTGTACTACCCTTTGTGCCAAGACTCACTGGACTTGCTTGATCCAATAAACTCAAAACAATCCATTTCAATCCTTTTGTCAGCAATATCCATTGCAATCCTATTGTTCTTTTGCTCTAGACGCTGTCCGATTTGGTGTTTCATGTCGACTGTCGCGTCAAGAACACAATCAACTGATGGCAGATATTATGGTGAGTTAAGATCAAGGAAAGTTCGGAAATGATTTTAAATATGATATATGTATTGTCCATTTCTCTTGGCTTACTTGTCCCGAACCTGTCTTTAATTCTTTGTTGATAACTCCTATAATCGATCTGTATTTCCAGATGGACGCTATTTTGCCTTACAACGTCAAGTGGGGATCGCTCGAGGTGTCGGACGTTGTTGAGTTCATTCGATGAATCGACGGCAGTCTCTCGAGCACAATCACGATCTCCATCTTTCTCTTTTGTCAATTCTGTGAGAGTTCCCTTACTTGTGGCTACGTTATTGGCCAGTTCACATCCACGAGAAGGACATCCATCCAATTCATCACAGAATATCGAAATGGGTCGGATTATTCGAAATGAGCATCGCTTTGAGATTCCCAGAACTGAGGTCACTTTTGTTGGGTAGAAAGCTAGAAGGTTTTTGAGCGACGATGGCAAACATTAAATCTATAAAGCAGTCTTTAAAGAGCTGGAAAGCTACGGTACCCCAGCTGTCTTTAGAGACATCTAGGGTACGGTAGCTTCTTTCTTAACCCGTTCTACTCAATTTTGACTTCTGGCCAACTTCCTAACAACTTCCCTACAACTTCCCTACAACTTACTTCTTATCTAACAACCAAAATCGGTATCTGGATCCAGGATCCAATCACATCTAGATATATTTACTTCTTTTTTTCGTTTACCCATTTTTTTGATATGAATATTATTTAAAATCCCACTTATCTGATCTCGTTTTCCTTTTGTACAAATCATTTTTGAATCTCCATTACACGAGTTATTTTTGTCCTTTATTTTCATGTCGGATCACCTGTGAATGAATTTTGAATTTGTTGCTTTTCAATTGTTCGAACCACGGGTTGGTTTCTTGTGAATATTTTAATTTTAGATAAATTTTGTACATGAATTGCAAGATGAATCACGAATCAAACAAAACTAGTCTTTTTTTTTTGTAAAGTTATCCTGTTTTGAATCGGGCACCTTGAAAAACTACTGTACAATCACAAATGTAAACTAATTTATCGCCACTAATACTTCGTAACTTTAGGCGGCAATTTCTCCACATTACATGCATAGCTAGGAGCGGATCTGTGTCACCTACTCTTCTCAAACTCTTCTCCAACTCTTCCCTCGCACTCTCCATCTACTTCTCCCCTTCCTTTTTCTCAGGACTGGGGCAGCCCCTTCTCTCCCAAAACGGGGCCTCGCACTACCACCGTAAAAAGTGTCCTCTCCCCGCAGAAAAAGCTGCGCGAGAGTCGGCCTCTATCGAGAGAATCGAGAAGTTCAAACCCCATCCCCTCACTGCCACCCCACAAAAACCCAACTATTGTGGCAAAAAGTGTGCCCGGGTTTTTTTTGCCGGTTTTCTACTTTTTTTTGAAATGATTTTTGGGGTCACACACTGGCGGCGGCTTGTTTTTTGCCACCATCCAAAAAAAACTCCCCGTGCAAAGCAGTTGAGTGCTACGAGACAAAAAAAAACGAGCAATACACAATCGGATTCGATGTTTTCATAGCACAAAATTGATTAAAACTCTTCTCAAATAAATATGATGTTCAATTTTCAATGTTTACTTGAACATTAACATCAATGTCATCAACTTGAACATCAATGTTTACTTGAACATTACAATTTTCAAAACAATAAAGCATTGTTTGTCCTTGTAAAAGTTGAAAGTCAGTGTTTCCCTAAAAATAAATTCCGGATCGAAGCCGCTTTTTATGGCTTAATCCTCAAATTTTGACACTTGATCTTGCTGGGTTCTTTTTTTGGCAAAGCAGAGAAAAAAGGTGAAATGGTGAAAAGGAGAAAAGGAGAAAGAAGAGGTGTGTCCGATGTTTTTTTGTGGTGAGCGCACGTCTGCGGCCAGCCACGTTTTTTGCAGTGTTCGGAGTAGAAAAGGGAAGAAGGAAGAAGAGGAGAGAGAAAGAGCTATCATTGGGACATTCGGGAATCTATCTATTAGGGAAGTAGTGCAAGATGGGTATCGAAAATATGTGTGAATGAAGTTGTGAAGTGTATCTTTAGTCTTTAGTCTTTGACGAAACGTCGGGGTCTTTGGGAAAGGGATTTGAACTGATTAAGGGACTGAGAATGAAACTGAGAATGAAACTGAGTATGGAACTGAGTATGGAACTAACTATGGAGCTGAGTATGGAACTGAGTATCGATTAATCCAATACAATCAAAGCATCCAATCATTGAGCTGTTTAAGATAAGTTAGCGCCTTTAATTTAGTGACCAACTCTGCCAACTCTGGTCGGCCAACTCTGGTTCTTCAGTAGGAAAACAAAATGGCATGAGTAAGGTTAAAGTCAACATTCAGCTGTGCATCGACATGATTTTCGGTTTTCGTCAACACCCAACTATTTATGTGTGCATATCGTATAGTAGAGGCTGTAGAGGGATCGTTGAGGTCGTTCACTCCCGCCAATCTCATCCCATTCCACCAATTTTTCTCTTTTATTTGAAACTTTTACCCCTCCTCAATATTTCTCATCTTTTCATCTGCCCTTTCTTTTCTTTTTCTTTTCTTTTCTTTTCTTCTTTTTCTCTTCACCCATTTGTGCCATTCGCGCATCGTTTTTCCCCGTGCTTTGAGAGAAGACGTTCACTCTTAACTCACTCCACAAAAAACACCCATCGAAAGAGGATCGACCTTTCTTTCACCAATCTTTTTCTTGAGTCTCTTTTTTAATGGCTCTCCTTTCGTTCTTTTCATCCCAAACCTCTTCTACTGTTTTTCCGAATAGACTCGTTTTAGCATGTTCCTCCTGAGTTAAACTAGCAGATTTTGTACATGCTGATTGCTAAAAACAACCGTGATAAGGAGGACAATTTCACAGTTAACCCACCCTCTTTTCAATAGTCCTGTTCTTTTCTTTTCCCCATAAACCTCTTCTTTGCTTGTTTTTTTTCAAATACATTTTTTCCTTTCCCTTCTTTTCTTTATCCTTTTCTCCATTTTCCCCACTCTTTTCTTCATATCTTAAACCACTTTTTTTGGCTGTCTCGGGACGTTCGGGCGGCCGCCAGTTTTTTGCATATTCTCTGCTTGTCTGCAGTCTCTTTTCCATTTATTCTAAAAAAAGAATCCCTTTTTCCTTTCCCCCATCTTTCTAAGCTTAAAGTATTTCGAAAGTTTTCCTGAACAACTTCAACAAGGAATTCTTGATCTGCAAAGCATTTGTTTTTGTTTTTCTTCAGAGTTTATTATGTTTTTGTTCTAAATCTCGAAAAATTCTTGTGAATAAGAGAAAGAAAGCTTTCCTTGAAGCAATTCCTTGAAGCATGACTCTTTGGCATCAAGCCGACAGTTGTTCTTTAGTATTTAAATCAGAACTATTCTTTTAATATCACAATATATTTCTATCTTTCAATGCTTCCCTTCTTTTTGATTCCCTCCATTGGACAGCCACCACCCGGACTGGCCGCTTTTTGCCCCTCGCGTCCCCTGCCCGTTCTTCTCCCGTTCTTCCCCCTTCTTCCCCCTTCTTCCCCCTTCTTCCCCTTTCCCCTCGCCTCCGACCACTTTTTCTTCCATTTTTTCTCTTCCCTCCCCTTCTACATTCTCTTCTTTTCCAATATTCCCTCTGCATCCCATCATTTTTCTTCTCGATTTTTTCGATTCCCCTATCCTGTCCCCTCCCCATCCCCCCATTCTCCCATTCTCTTCACCATTCTCATTTTTTGTCTTCCCCATCTTTTTCTCTTTTTTCTACTTCTTCTCGTTTTATTCGGACGCGACCAAAACCGGAACTTTACCCCCATTCCCCATGTGTTCTTTTCTTTCTTTCTTTCTTTCTTTCTTTCAGTTTTCATCGGTTTTGTAATAGTATACCCTTTACCGTAAATGGGATCTTTCTTTCGAACGCTTCGCACGTTTTTTTTCTGAATTTCTACGTTAACTTTTTATTGCAGAAAATGAAATGGTCCTTTTACAAAAGCAAGCTCTGCCAGAGGGTTTGAAACTTGTCCAGTTTTGTCTTATCTTTGTTTTTATCTGAATCTATTGTTTACATTCTACTCCCATTGATATCTGAAGTTCATCTGAATTCTGGCTTAAAATGGCTGAAATGGCTGAAATGGCTAACTGGCTAACTGGCTAAAATGGCTTAAACCCCCACCTAACTCCTTTGCATTACCCTAAAACAAAAACTATTCAGGTGAACTGAACCATTGAAGCTCTTGTGATGGTTCAGAATCTAAAAGTGAACCGTGCAAGGCATGGATAACTTGACGCAAGACGTTTGACCTAACCTAATACTAAAACCTGTGATTGTCTTGTTTCCCGTTCAAAAGCGTCCCCTATTTTCTTTTCTTCTGTTCAATTTTGTTTTCTTTTTTCCATTGACCAGCACTTCGTCTTTTATCCAAATCCATCTCTTTGCATTTCCCCGATTATTTCAGATTAAGCCGATTTTCCAAGTCTCGAATCTATTTTTTTATTCTCATTTTTCTGTTTTCTCATTCTAATCACAGGTGCTCGTTTGTCGGGAATTTCTCCCCCTGGAGACTACAAAAAAAAATCCCGCAACATTTTCTCCACAACTTTTTGTGTTGCTAAACTTTTTCTTTCGAGAGCATTTTGAGCCGATTTATGAGATTTTTCCTCCTCTTCGTCTAATCGCCGTTCCCCAGGCGATAGACCATCAAATTGAAGAAAAAAAATAAAAAGAAAGAGGGGAAATTTTTAGATCAAAAAATGGAGATGTTGAGGTTGGAGACATCCACAATTTATGATGCTTTTGCTGAGAGTGAATAGTATAAAAGTTGAAAGCAAAAACACTTATGAGCTCCTTTTATTTGATAGGTCAGTCCTTCACCTTAAAGATTTACACTTGTCCTGCAGGACTGTCTACAAAACTCGTCAAAGATCAGCTAGCCAGGATTAACCAATCTGTCTATGAGCTTTTGGATCTGGCCCTGGTTCAAGAATGTAGAATGTGAGTCCTGTAAACGAGGCTAGACTAGGACAAAGGCCAAAAGCCAAGCCAAGTAGAACCCTGGAAACATTATCATTGGAAACCCTCTAGTTTTGGCCCAAGAAAGAAACCCATTACAGTATTCTGGCATAAAGTATTCAGATATCAAGTAGCCAACTCTGGTAAAAGCTTGAATCAGCTTACTGTTTCCTTTTCGAAACAAACTGCTGCTTTACCCTATCTTCAGACACCAAAAGACATTGTTGAGATGAAGGCATCAATCCAGACCCTTTCACTTTCCCCCATATCCGTTCCTTTTTCGGTAAAATGTTTGTTGCGATTTCTAATCCCCTCCGGTCGATTAGAGGAGTCTCTTCTTTTTCCCTTTTTCTCGACTTCTTCACAATCCATTTACATCCATTCCCTCATCTCCTTTTTTTTCTTTTTTTATCTCAATCCAAATCCCTGACCGTCCCACTTTGGGCCCTACAATTTTTGTCCTCTTTTCTTTTCTTTTTTTTTGGTCATTTTTTGGTCAAGGCACAAAATGAGCTCAATAGATGGAAAAATGAAATGGCAACAATTATTGAAAAAGAATTTCTGAACTTTTTTCTCACTTGGGAATTCGTTACGGTTTTGATCAAATGATGGCATTTTTATGCTTTGAAATAGATAAATTATCTAACTGATCAGAAAGCTTTTCTAAGGCTATAAGAAACATTCTTTGTTCTCACCTGTGAGATAGAGAATTGCTTGAATTTGACCAGTCTGCGAGTGGGCCAGTAGCAAGAGACAAGAGACAAGTAATAAGAGACAGGATATTATTTTTAATATCCTGTTCAGGATATTCCAAAACGAAATTTCTTCCAACTTACAGTATTATCTTTTCCATATTATCCATTCCTTTATTGTTCTTTAATTTTTGTGTAAACCCCTGAAAGCGAATTTTCTTTTCAGCGCCAAGCGCCTCCCCGACATTCCCGGAGACGGGTTTGTTCGGCCCAACCATCCCCTTCAAAAAATAGCTATCAAATAGCATTGTGGGATCAAAAAAAAGATTCATATCCCAAAGGATTACTGTATTTATTCTCTATTCCACAATATAAAGTCTCGATTCGATCCAAGATCGACATTTTCTTCGTCAACCAAAATCAAACTTCGGGTACCCAAAGGAATTCTCGTCATCGTCGTGGATCTGATCCAATTTTGGTGAGTTTAGCTGTTAAAAATGATCACAATAGAAAGATCTTGTATGTCAGAATATCAAAGATTCAATGCTTTTAGCATTTTCCCCATGTCTGACTCAGCAAATACCCCATCACCGTCAAATGTGCAAAGCACGACAAATGTCTGTGTATCGACAACAGCAACAAGCAGGTTAGACAATGAAAAATGGGTTGAGATGATGGTTGAGATGATGGATGAATAGAATATCTTTCTATTATAATCATTCAGACCAACCTCATCAACATCAAAGCCACCAATCCCGACCTCGTTATCCGAATGGCAACTATTGGCTGTTCTTCAAAGAGCGAATCTTGTTCAATACTATGATACTTTTATCTCACAAGGTAAAAATGTTGATTTCAGTCGTATTTCGAAATTTTCCCATCCACTTCCCAAACATTTTCTCTAGTTTCAGGTGGAGATGATATCAATCAAATAATGCAATGCGATGAATCAGAGTTCCTCGAAATCATGTCATTGGTGGGAATGCTTTCAAAACCGTTGCATGTAAGACGATTGCAGAGGACGTTGACGGTCAGTAAATCTTAAAATAGCTTTACAACTGAACAACTTATCAGCTGTTTAAAGATCTCTGTCCGAATAAATTTCCATCGAACTTTTCTCTATTCAGCTTTATTCCCATTTCTTCCCAGTCCTCCGCTTTTCTTTTCTCAAAATCGTTCCACTCGAAAAACCCAATCCAACCATTTTTATCCACTTTTTACCTGAATATCTCTATTTTTCTTCTTCTTTTTTTTTTTCACAAAACCGATCGCATGTTTGGTTGTTTTTTCTCGATTTACTAGGCAAAAATTTTTGAGTGGCACGACCGGCCGTATCATTTTTGGGAATGCTGAGGGGAGAAGACTTTTTGCTGTCCGATCAACAAAAAAACATTCGCATAAAAACTGGAGAAACGGGGGGAAATTGATGGAAAATGCGTGTCTTTTCCTTTTTGTAAAAATTTGTGAGAAGGGGGAAGAAAGCTGTCAATCTTGGGGGATCAAGGGACTGACGAATAAGGGATTCATTTCAAATTCATTTCAAATTCATTTCAAAATTGAAAGAGGGATTTGAGATTAATTTCAAAATTCAAAAATATAAGTTGAAACTGTTTTTAGCGATTAAAAAAATCCAACTAGGGACTCTTTCGATTTCAGGATTTCTCGAAAGACCCAGCCGCTTTCAACTTGTCGGCCATTCCCCTCATCGGCCCTCCTCCAATATCCAATTTCCCCACTGGCGCCAATCCAATCGATTTCCTTCTACCAGGTAATCGATTTCCTTCTACCAATATCTAGATTTAGATAAATATATTGATTCCTTAGGCATCGCCTCACTCCAACAAAGCCCATCTCCATCACTTTTCCATCCCGAAACAACCACCCCACTCACCACCACCACATCTGTTGCCCATTCCACATCAACCATTTCGAAAATCTCAACCGTACCAATAAGTCGGTCTATAATCAATAATCTAGAGCTATATCCAGATCTAACATCTAAACCCGATATTTTTATGCTTTCAGCTGCCATCGACTTCACGAATCCACTCTCGGCTATCGGTGCCACGGCGGCGAATGTTCTCTCCCAAGAATATTTACAATCATTGGGTAGATTTTGCAGTAAAGATAGTTATATTGATATCGTGCATTAGTTTTGCAATATAAACTTCAGCTCTATTACAGTAGCCTCTGCCGCTGCAGCCACTCAACAGATGAGCCGCCAAAATGAGCATAATATCACCACCGCGAACAGCAAAGATCCGAATAGTATAAGGATTACAAAGGTTTGTACAAAAAATAGATACCGTAAATACTGTAATAGTATCCCACCCCCATAATGACGGTGCGTAGTGTTGCGTAGCTTTGAACGAGTTTTTCTCGACACTGGTTTATGCTACAATGCGCGCTTAGGTATCAAAAAAATAGCCCTGAATTTCAGCTATTTTTTGATACCAAAGACGCATTTTTGAAAGTACGGGTGCTTTGAAAAAAATGAAATACTGAAAAACTTTTGCGACTACGCGACTGTACTATTACAGGAGTACTACAGACTGTACTATTACATGCGACTGTACTATTACAGGGGTGGGGTACTATTACAGTATTTACGGTATTTATTTAGTGATCAAAACTTCAAGAACAATTGATGAATGTTTAATTTCAGTCCGGTCTACCATCTTCATCGAACAGCCCTCACATCAGTTCCACCGATGATTTTGTGGCCCTAGGTGACTTTGATCCGAGTGAGTTTCGGCCGAGCTACTTTTTAACCCTTTTATAATGCTCGATTGTGTTCATTTTTATAATTATATTGAATATTAAAGAGATATTCTTTCAGATGCCCCTCAAACGGAGACTCCAAGCCTCTCCGAGGCGCAGATTCGACGCCTCAATCAATGCGCAACACTGGTAGGAATAAAACAGACAAAACTACTGGCTAAGCTACTGGATAAAGCTTACTGTCTTTAAAAGCTATTCATTACTGTCTTTAAAAGCTATTCAGCTTACTAGATCCAACTTTCCTTTTTCTCTAAACCTTTCTCTACCTGAAGATCTTCATTTAAAAGTATTTTTCTTTTTCAGGTCGTTCAAAATCTCCCCAAACTAGCTCCGAAACTTGTGCAGAATAAAAAACGAATCAGCCAGTGAGTGGAAACAAATTAAGTCTTAATTTATATGAAAAATAGAGAAATCCTTGATTTAATGGCCCTTCCATTGACATCACCACAAAGAGCAGATGAATATCGAAAATTCTCGGCAATTTATGGACGATTCGATGCTAAAAGGAAACCGGATAAGGTGAGGAAAATAGAAAAATTGATCCTCGAAACACTTAGATACTTATTAACAAAATCTCTAGATTTTGACTCTCCATGAAGTGTCAGTGAATGAAGCAGCCGCTCAACTCTGCATGCTCCAACCGGTACTCTTGACGAGAAGAGATGAATTGTTTCCATTATCAAGACAGGTATTAGCTGCTAGAATGTTGGGGGTAGTTTAAGTTGAACCTTTCATTAATTTGTAACTCATACAATATGAACTGTACTGTACAGAGTCTGCATTTTGAATGGTTAAACTTCGTTTTAAGAGGTATCCCCATATTCTCATTTTCTTTAATCTCGCCACCAATTTTGCCACTTTCAACTTTACTAAAAATGATTAGGATTTGTGAATTCTGATTTAACAGTCAAAAACTCAAGGGTCGATTACCTATTGTCCCCAAAAATCAGGACAAAGTTATGAAGTGAACACACACACTTTGCGTCTTATAATAAGCAAGATATTGTCTTCATATAACTATTATAACTATTATAGCTATTATATTTGCTTAACTTTATACTTTAGGTAGTGAAAGATGCCGGTTATCACTATACGAAAAGTCGGGAGAGACGCCGAAAAGAGGATGCGGATGGAGAAGAAAGAAGTACACCGTCGATGAGGTGAGGAAAGGAAATCGAAGTGGGGAGAACTTGGGGAAACCTATTGAGTACATATAAACTCAAAGATTTTTAATGTTTTATATCAAAATATGTTATTCAATCGATTTAGCCCATCTCCATCAATGGGAGACGACGATGAACACTATGGAAGTGAAGAGAAAAGACGAAAGATTGAATCCATCGGTTGGTTATGCATAAAAAAGATTGAATATTTAGTTAAAGGTTTTAAAATTGAAAATATTGGGTTGGTGAAGTGAAAACTGCCGGGACTTTGCACTAAAATTTATTGAACATAAAACCATCAATTCATTTCAAATAATTTCCATTATTATTGACGACTTCTGCCCATTTTACAGGCAATTTACGAATTCCTCTTTCGTAGTAGGGTTTTGGTTTGTGTGTGAGACAAGTGTGAGACTCAAAAATGGAGGACTGGAGAGGTCGGCTGTCAGCCCAGTTTGAGCACTTTCTTCAAAAGAAACCCATTTTGGTGTCAATAGAAAAGTTGTAGAGAATCAAAAATTAGGCTTATAGCCAAATTTCCAAAAAGATACACTCAGTAGTTTCGCTTAAAATGCAAGTTTTGTGAAAATTCGTAAATTTGGCATTTCTTGAAAATCAGTTTTTGAATCGTTCTGAAAATTTGGATATAAGCTTCATTTTTGATTCTCTACAACTTTTCCATTTACACCAAAATGGATTTCTTTTGAAGAAAGTGCTCAAACTGTCACATATGACAAGGCAGTTTTCAATTCACCAACCCAATATATGCTTGATAACATTGTGATAAAAAAGCTTTCAGGTAAAGATGTTTCCCATGAAGTTTCCAGTCGAAAGCTTTAATCCCAAAAAGTATTCAATTTTCTGAGCCATTGACAAGTTCAGAAAGTTATCAAGAATAAAATCTCAAGGACTCAAGTCAAATCACAAGATATTCAGTTAAGCTATCTTCGGTCTAACCTATGGAATGTTTTAACTGAAATCTTGAGCTTATAAATTACAGCATTGCCGTAAGATTATAAATTACAGCATTACCAATCACGGTAAGTACCAGCCAATTTCTGAACTTGTCCTGGTCATTTCTAGTTTTAAATTTTCTCAATCTGATCAAACTTATTCATTTTCGGTCGGCTTTACTCCTTTTTTTTCATGTCTTTTTCGACTTTTTGGGCAAAATTGAAGCTATAATTTGTGATAAGTTGTGCATATCTTCCAAACAAATGACTTCAAAAGTTCCCCCTTTTTCATTTCCTTTTTTTGAAAACTTTAGTTGAAAACTAAAAGTTAAAAGTTTTCCTATTCAAATTCTTATCATGAAATGATACTCGACCTAGTCAAAACATCCACTGAATAGCGTACAACGCATGTCCATCATCATCATTTTTTTTAGCTTTCTTTTCTCATTTTTTTAATCATTTTTGTATCAAATTGTTCTTTTGTTTATAGGCACACATTTTGAATGAAAATTTGAACGATTTCAATGTTAGTGTCAATTTTTTGTAAAGACGATAATAAAGAGATTCAAAAGATCATTGAGATCCAAAAGATTACATCAACATCAACATCATTACAGTATTTCAACAGACAATTCCTTTTAGAAAAGATCATTGAGATACCGTAAACTACCAGCTTACCCTCGATCACTCCAATGCTTTTTAGATAACATATTACTTGAGAGGAGCACACTCTACTTTCAGAATCGCATTTTATATCCCAAAATCGATTTGAATGAAAATTTGAACGATTTCAATGTTAGTGTCAATTTTTTGTAAAGACGATAATAAAGAGATTCAAAAGATCATTGAGATCCAAAAGATTACATCAACATCAACATCATTACAGCATTTCAACAGACAATTCCTTTTAGAAAACGACCGTAGCGTAAACTACCGTAAACTACCAGCTTACCAGCCCGTAAACTACCAGCCTACCAGCCCTCGATCACTCCAATGCTTTTTAGATAACATATTACTTGAGAGGAGCACACTCTACTTTCAGAATCGCATTTCATATCCCAAAATCGATTTGAATGAAAAGCTTTGAATGTGATTGAATAAATTGAATAAATGGAAAATCTCAAGTCGAGAGAGTCCAATATTGGCGATTTTCGGGTCAACCCGATTGCTGTGTGACCCAAAAGAGATTCACCAACAACAATTTGATTACATCTCTTTTGTCCGTCTTTCCCCCTTTCTTTTCTTTTCCCTTTTTCTTTGTCTGTATCGAGTCTGTCCATTGGGGGAATGTGTTGTGATTGGATTCGCCTTTTTCATTTTGATTCATTTCATTTCATTCATTTCATTCATTCAACTCATTCTATTCAACCCACAACATATGGTCGCACTGATCACAGAAGAGATATTGGCTCTTGTCGAGTCCGGGTATTTGGAATGAAGGCTTTGAAGGCTGTCCGCTTTAAAGGCCTATAACTTTATCCAAAGACAATATTATTGCTAACTTTTCATATCGTTGGATAGAGAAGGCTTCAGGCTTTTGAATGATTCCAAAAAGAGCTTGATTGGCTTTTTCATTCACATGCAAACTAGGCGACACTGCACCCGAGTTGGATCGGCCTCATTTGCTCAAATTTGGCTTTGATTACCCTGGACTGGATTATCCAATCAAACTGTATTTGGTGTCATTCGAAAATCTGAAATCTCCTCTATACAATGATATAAAAAGTTAGCAATAAGATAGTCTCTGAATAAAGTTATAGGCCATCAAAGCACTAAAGCAAGCTCCAAAGTACTCAAAAAATAAATCTTTGAGTTTTCTGGCAAACCCTCTTAGTTTTCAGCATCCACTCCGTCTTCAAGCTCTCAAAATTTGCATCATTCATACCAAAAAGCAAAGAAGAAGCCAAGAAATACGATGAAATGGACATTCATCCACAAGGGACGACACAACCGGCATTAATTTACTCATTTCGCGCATTAACATGTTGATGGGTGAATCGCGAGACCCAACACAATTTTCCGAGAAAGGGGGGGAAGGGGAGGGGGAGGGGAGGGGAAGAGGAGGCTGAGAGGAGGCTGAGCGGAGGCTGAGCGGAGGGGAAGGCCCACCACACAAATGGATGTATCGGGAGGGATCCATGCCCACCCCAATCCATTCAGCTACCCCCTCCAACCCTCGGCAAAAAGAAATAAAGTTGACTTCATCAATTTACCCCTTCATATAGTCTCTTCCAAATTGTAGACATCAGCTAGCTCTACTCTGTTCTGTCCCCCCTTCATTCGCATTTGTTCTGCAATTTATGCTGGGATTACGGTACTCTCATCATTATATTTAATCAGCTATTATATATTGATCTTCTAACTAACTAGTAAGATCTAAAAGAGCAAAATGAATCCTATTGGATAAGAGACTATGAGGGACCCTCGCAATTCTCCCTTTCTTCAACAATATGTCCGTCTCTTTCTTCATTCATTCTTTCACTCTTTCACTCTTTTCCCGTCTTGCTGAGAGACTACGGTAGGATTGGGGATTTCTTCAAATCTTAAAAGTCATTCAAATCATTCTTTTTTGTTTTTATAGAAGAGTTTATTAGTCTCAACATTCACAACATGTTTTTTATCTTTTCAACAAACTACACAAGGACCAGCTGCTTTAAAACCTTTAGAAACCTTCAAATAGTTAGCAATTGCTTCGTAGATCATGTTCTTTACTAACTCTGACACAAATCATTTCGCCTTTTCAACAAGATTCTCTCATTTCAAGGGGATTTAGAGAATGGGGGAAATCTGGACGCAAATTATTCACCACTTTGTTTCGTTTTCAGAGCGCTCTATTGCCATCGATCCTTTTCTAAAAAGGGTTCTCTTTTTTAAAATCCTTAAAGCAAAGTTGTTTTTAATTTTTTATCGAATAAACAGAAATACAGTAAAGCTATAGTTGCGGTACATTCTATAGCTATAGTCTATAGCTTTACTGTATTCATGTTTGTTATGTTATTTATTCGTTCTCTCAAAGCTTTCCACGTCCTCCAAGTTTGTGATACCATTCGAAACTCTCCCCCTCATCTCTTCATTTCATTTTGACTCGATTCGCTTCTCTTCATTTCATTTCAATTTCCTCTTTGAAATTCTTTCCTCAAAAGAAAGTGGTTGATGTTAGAAAGGATGTGAGGGAAGGAATACTAAAACATTAACATTCAACATTCAACCCAATCAATCCCTTCTCTTTACCATTTCTCTCATTTGAAACACTGCCGACTCATCATCGATCATCTCCACCAATTCTTGGGGTTTCAATTTTCAAATTGGTATCTTTCCCATTATATCTCTCAGAGAAGAATCATTATTGTCAATGTTTCGGAAAGTTTTGAAGCTCAAGGCGTCGAATCGAATCGCTTGAATCAAGCGTTTAAGTTTAGTTCCTTATCTCTCTAAATTTGGTTCCTTAAACAATGTGTTTTATGTAAACTGAAAGAAAAATATAAAGTCTCGATCGAGTCTAAAGAATGAATGGATCATTGAGATTGAGATTGAGAAAAGATTGAGAAATGTCACCAAAAAACAAGCGAAGATTTGATTGGTTAAACATCTTGGACTGATTTTGGTCCTACATAGCTATTCTTTGCAAATCATATCTATTTACTGACACCGTCTATTGACTATTGACTGACATTTGGTTGGTTTGTTAAATATTTGGTTGCAGGAATCATTGTAAATACAGTAAACTCTAGAACAAAACGAAAAACTGAGCCCGTATGCTATGCTCCGGAAAAACTTTACGGCAGCACCTTTGATCTTTCCGATAAAACGTCCATGGTTTTCCCTGACTTTTCCTCAGAAAATTCCTCGAAAAGTTTCTCGGAAAGTTCCAGCGGAAATTTACCGGAAACTTTCTGAAAGAAAATTACTTTTCGCTGGAAAACTATGGACGTTTTACCTGAAAAATCAAAGGTGGCGCCGTAAAGATCAGAGACGCCGCGGGAACTTTTCCCGGAGCGTAGAATACGGGCTCTGGTAACTTGCAATTCATTCATCCATCTTTCACACCTTAAAATCTCGTCTTTTCTTTTCCAGATGCGTGAATTTCGTGAAAAATGAAGAGGACAGGAAAACGGGAGGAAATTAGGTCCCCTCCACCCCTCCCTTCCACCAGGATTCATCTTTTTCCTTCTTTTTTTCCAATCGGGGACATCCCATTTTGTGTCCTTCTCGTACACACTCCAAATTTACGCTGATTAATGACTTTCCCTTTCAAAATCGTTTATTCTTGCATTTGCTTCTAGTTTGTACTAAAATTCTCGAGAATTCTCGAGGTTGCCTCTTCTCATTTTGAAATTTTAGATCGTTTTGTCACTGAACTGACTGATCTCACTTTTTCTACGATCAATAGACTTTCTCCCTACACCAAAGCCAATCTATCCTTTTCAATAAGTCGTCTACGTGTCGACTGAATGCGAGAATTTTCCATTCATTCATTCACTGAAGCCAAAATCGATTCCTGTGGCCCGAATTCGGAATTTTGGGATGGAAGCTCATTTCTCTTTTCTCTTTTTGTCTCTTATTTTCTTTTCTTCTTTTTTATGCTTTTAATTAAACCTCATTACCCACGAAGCGACACCATCCAGACTGGAATAAAGAATAGAAGAGGGGAAGGGGAAGGGAGGGGTCACCCGAGGACATCGACATCGTGAGAGGGTAGGGGCTGACAATGAGGGACATCATTTGTACAATATTTGTGTTACAGCTAGTTACAGCTTGCATCACTTGTACAATATATATACCGTATTTTCTGTAATAGTAGTGCGCACTACTATTTTTTCAACCCCCCCTCCTGCCTGCACTACTATTATAGACTGCACTACTATTACAGAAAATACGGTATATGTATTATAGCATTTGTGAGTTGTACCATGATATAACTCGTGGTTTCTTTTCTAAATCTGAACATTAAAACCGACAATCATTTAAGAATTGGCAGTTGTGAAAAGTTTCGAATTGTCTTCTCATCAAACTTTCAAACAAAATTCTCCAGGTTCTTCCAGGTTCCAGGTTCTTCCAGATTCCAGGTTCTTCAAAGATTTATTTCAGATTCACAATTAACTTTATGAATAAATGTGAGTAAATGAGTAATTTAAGTAAGTAATTTTTGAGCGAGTAAACCTCTCCAAATTTTAACAGAGACTAGAGATCTCAAACGTGTGAAGCTGAACAGAATGTTCTAGAATAAGAAAGTTATTCAAGTGAAATGTTTTTGGCGTTAAACTTTCCACTACTTTCGTTTATTAATAGCTTTTCCTATATGATTTGTTCATTCTTCTTTTATCAAACGCCGGCTCCAATCGACGATCCATAACAGGTGAAATTGTCTGTCTCGTAGTCGATTTCACCTGCCGTCAAACCCACAATCCCACAAAATTCTCTCACAATTTGGCTCAATTTCTTCTTTTCTAGTTTCATTTTAACAACTTATACAAAGTCTAGGCCATTTATTGATTGTTTTGTCTGGAATAGATTAGATAAACAATACATATTTGACTGAAAAACTGACTGATATGAATAGATATGAAAGATTTCAAATCCAAATCAAATCCAAGTAGACAAATTGCTTGACAAGTAGACAACTGACAAAGCTGCTTGACAAGTAGACAAGTGACAAAATAACATTGTTATACATTATTGTTATTTGAATATTTGTGAATTGTTTTGCCTTAATTTCCTCGTTTTCCCCAACTCCATTTCATTCTTTCGATGAGCGGTGTTCTCCAGTCGATAGCACGAAATAACTCTGTGGATGTTATTGCTCGAGAATACTCCTCATTTTGAAGGATTCACCAAACTTTACTTGGTTTTTACCCTTGTATCAATCAACTTGTTTATGATGATTATGATGATTATGATGATTATGATAATTTATGATGATGATTTATCAATCTTTTATAATGATTACTGCTGATTTAACAGTTCGTTTTCATTGTTTTTGTCTTCTTTCTTTGAATTTGTTTATTTACTAACAACAAATACCCGTTTGGTGACATAAAATGTCCTGAACATCACAATTCTCTTACAATTCTGAACACTGATCTCATTCTATTTAATCCCCTTCTCATTCATTGTCTCATCTCCATTTTGAGCGTACCGAAATGAGTCTGATTCGACGAATGGACGACGCTTTCTAAAATCGATTTTTTTTATTAATTTATTAGTCTTAAGTTTCGTTTTCGTTCTATAGGTAAAGATTTTAAAATCAATTTTAATCAAATCAAATTTTAATTTCAAAACAGTTGACTCGATCTAGATAAACCAGAGATCAATATACAAATGAATATGAATGTCTTTGGTTCACTTAGTCCTTAGTTCACTTTTCACAGCACCTGTAAGAATTGGCTGATAGAGAATTTGATAAACAACACGGCCAAACAATTAAATTCCAATCAATCGCGAAAAGATCTTGCCATCCAGATAAACCGGAGATCAATATACAAATCGATATGAATGTCTGAAATTGAGATTATTCTGATATTTCACTTTTACTCACCAAAATTATTGTAATTGGGAGGAATTCGAGTGGAAATCGAGCGAAAGTCTCAAAAAACCCATTTCCATGTAAAGAAGTTGATTCGACTCCATCATTCAGCAAAAAGAATGAAGTACAGTTGTTCTGAAACAGCTTAGTTAGGATACAGAACTAAGATTTTTAATGATAGACCTGTAACTTTGGCACTGAGTTTTTCGTGAGATTTGTCGAGAAAATAGAGACAGCTAGAGCACTGCAGAGGGCAAAAGCGATGAAACAACCCTGAACTTTTCCTTTTAGAGTGCTTTAATATAAATTGCAATATCCAATAAACTTGTCGAATAGAAAATTGAAGCTTACAATGAATCAAAAGTTGGTTTTCAATGAAGTTATTACAAAACGTACCCTGTAGTTGGTGAATGGTAGAAAATATCCACAAGCAAAACAGGCAGTTGTCAAAGAGGCCAATGTTCTGGATAATTTAATCCATTCTATAGAAACAATATGATTTGCAACTAACAATATTATGTAGAAAGCTATTGGTAGATATGTAGCATAAGAGATCGGTGAGAGACCAATGATTAGTGATAGTAAAATCAGAGTGATCGTCACTTTGAGAGCCGTTGCCTAAATGATATCATAAAGTAATGGCAAAGCAAGATTTCCAGAAAGGGGATTGAACCCTCGACCTTTTTGCTTTCCATTGACATGCTCTAACCACTGAGCTATCCGGTATCTTGCCAGAGAAGAAAGAGAAGAATAAGAAGATAAGAATAAGAATAAGTTTAACTTTGTTGATTTCAAACCTGTAGAGCGCAAAGTTGTTGCAGAGTTGACCACTCTTTGAAGCGATTCTTCAGGAATTCCTGAATGGAATTCGATTGTTGCTTCAGTGTCCAATACTCGCAATGCTCTGATCAACAAACCTCCCAAAGCGTTGAAACCAATGCAATGAATGTCCATTGATATGTGAACATGAGAAGAAGAACCAATGAGACACCGACAAAAAACGATAAGAATGGAGAACGGGGGACCTGGAAGGGATTGTTGAGGTAAAAGAGCAAATTGGCAATCGATATCTAAGCTATGGATAGCTTAGATATTGATTGCATCTTGAGCACCAGGCTTTTTTTTTGTTTTGTTCGATTCAGCTCACCGTAAACTTGATGAATTCAAGGAGTGAAGCTGAAGAATACGGTAGTTTACAATGTTTTTCCATAAAATGAGTGAATATTGAAACGATGATGAAAACGAATGAAGAAAAGAAAAGAGAAAAGGCTGAATATAAAGAGAGACAAATCCGAAGCTTGTGCCTTGTGGAGAGGGAGAAAAAGATCTGAAAAGGGAATTGGGTAGGGCTGGCTCTCTTAGATAGAGTTTGATTCAGTTTTTAAGCTTTGCTTTTAAGCATTGATTTTGATTGTACATTATAATCTTAGATTGTCGCTCAATTTTTTTCTTCTACTCACTTGATACATTGTTGGACTCGCCGCCAATTGATAGAAGCTGAGAAAGAAACCGACACAAAGACTGGCAAGGCATTTTTGGAAACTAAAAATAGTGAAAAGATTAGAAATTAGTGAAAAATTTTTAAGTACACAAGTACCGTATACTCTCTAATAGTAGTGCACTCTCTAATAGTATTGCGGTCCAGGAGGGGGTTCAAAAAATAGTAGTGCACCAAAACCAAAGTGCACCAAAATTTGAATTTCTGGTGCTTCTCTTTCATCTAAACCTTTTTGACTTTATGTTTATGTAACATTCTAAAGCTATTCAAGCAAGCAAAAGTGAGGCTTTTTTATTCATTTATTAACTATTCTTCACATGAAAAAGTTAGCAAAAAATCTAAAATTGTTGTGCAAAGTGCATAAACATCTTTTTGTTGTTTTTTGTCAAGACACAAATTGTCAACTCGCCGGCCCACAACTGTATGTCAAAAGGAGCCAAAGGAGTACGTGAAAGAATTGCAGAATTTTTGGACAAATCTTTATCTGTCTTACTTTGGTAAATGTACTCTTTAATAGTAGTGCACTCTCTAAGAGTATTGCGGTTCAGGAGGGGGTTCAAAAAATAGTACTACTATTAGAGAGAATACGGTATACAAAATCATACGATTACCTGAATTGAAAAGATAAAATCTCATTAAAATATGCCACTTCCTCAAGTCCATAGTAGACAAAAATACCACAACCAGCAGTAAGAGACTAAAATTCTTTGAATTCTTTGAATTCTTCGTGATTCTTTGAACGTTTCTACTGTCATTTCATCGTTTTTAATTACAATTTTATAATCAATTTAAAATTTTTCTTCACTTACCGCCAGGAAAACGAAAAATACGGGCAACATGGCCATCGTTTGACCGGCAAAAACGGTTGAAAGAAGTGAAAGACAAGCGATTAATGGAGCCTGGAAAGATTGGAAAATTTCCTTGATGTTGCAAGGTTTAAATCTTTGTATTTTGATATTTAACTCTGCTCACCAGTATATAGAACGGGAATCTCGAGATTGCGTTGAGAAGAGAACTTGTAAACATCAAATAAAAGAAGAGAACGCCCATTGAAATGACTACTTGTAGTAGAGAGCACAATTGTTGCACTGAGTTTTTTTGAATATAAATAAGTCTTCAGTTCATTTACTTATTGTTTTAATAGTCCAAATCTTTCTCAATTGATGGCTGTTTTCAACTTTCCCTTTCTTTAGTCGCTTCTTCTTTCTTATTTGTTATGTTTTGCTTTTATAACTTTTATAAAAGAATCAAAAATCAAAAAGACCTCTGGTAAATACAGCCATAATTATCTTCTCAATCAATCAGACGGTAATTCTTTTCATCCTCGGTCCGAAACAATTCAATTTCAACGTGAAAAGTTTTCCCTTTTTATGACCCCCTCACTCGCTGTGTGCCAGAAAGCGCGCGATTGTGCGCGCGCACAAAGAACACAACTCGGAGACAGACTTTTTACTCACAAGCATCAAAAACTCCACGTTTTTTTAGAAACTTACAAGTTTCTGATTGAAATCGAAGCTTCAGATATAAGAAAATGCTTGGAGATGGAATGTAGTGCAGAATTTTTGTCACAGTCATCGAAACGGAGAAGAGAGATAATAAAGAACTGAAAATGCCATTTTAAGCCGACTTACGCTTTGAAAATTTCTAGAAGTTACCCAAAAAGATAGAAAATACTGCTAGGGCCTGGACATATTAGACACCAAAAAGCGAATGGAGGAATGGAGATGAGAGACATTGAAAGACCGATACGCCAAGGAGAACAACTCATCGTACCCTGAAAATAGAACAAAACCATCTTTTTGATAGTCTGTGGCTAAAGCTGAATGTCTTTTACTTGCTGAAAGTTGATTGGACTCTTCAAATTGGCTATCCGAATCCCGCAAGTTGCCGTCAAAATAGGAATTAAAGCCAAAAGAATAAGCGGAGAAGCTTGAAGGAGATCATTCTCCATCCATTTAACCATCTAAAACAAAGTGTTAATTGAATGTTTTTGAATCGAATTGTAAGATTTGTTAAGGACAAAGATTGAGAGAAGACTTCCCCATTTTATGAGTGTTTTCCCCTTATTTCCCTGTTTGAACATTGCGAGTGAAATGGATTGTCCGAGAAGAAAGGAAAATCGTTACAAAGAAAGACTTTCAACTCTTGAGAAGATTCAAAAATTGGGTTAACTTCTCATAAAACGACAAGAAATGAGTGCGAAATGGAGATTTGAGTGTCTCATTCAGCAATAAACTTTCTCGAAAGCGAAAGTTCAAAGCTGATCTTCTGCTGATGAATTTTGGGTTGATAAATGGGATATTCTTCAGTTTGAAGGCTGTTTTCCTTGAAAAATTCAAATTGAGTGGAACAATTCGAGAAGAACAATATGAATAGATAGAGGAAAGTTGTGAAGGAAATGTTGTGAAGGAAAGGGAACAAATTTGAGGTTTGAAGTATCGGATCTTTTCGAAAGTGAATCAACGAATGGAAATGGAGTGAATCAACGAATGGAGTGAATCAAGTAGTCATTTCAATCGAAGGCTGACAATAGAGAAAAACAGGATTCTCTGATCAGGGAAGATACAAATTCCTCAAATTGCTTGAGGAAAATGATAAGAACTTGGAGGTAAATGTTTGGAGGGAAATCCTCGAATCTCTTGAATAAACAAAATTCAATCAAATCGGATCAGATTTGAGAGGAAAAAGAAAGGGTGAAAGGGTAAATTGAAGAAGGAGAAGAGAAGGGGAAGAGTGAAGAAGAGACCGGTATTCGGATCGTTTATTTCATCGTTTGATTGTTTGATTGTTTGATTTGAAATGATACTCAATCGGCAATGAAATAAACCTGAAATCTTTCACTCTTTACCCGTCTAGTGTTGTGATAAAGACACTGGTTTTAGTTAGCTAGACTGGAATATGAAACTTGAGTACACGATCAAAAAATGAATTCAATTTAATCGTTAATCGAAAAATTTCTTTAACAATAAGCAAGCAAAAAGGATCATTTGTTGACTGAAAGATTTGATTTTGAAAAAGATTTTCAGACTTTTCCGAGCGTTTTTGATTCTTTTCAAGTTTTTCTTTTTGTTTCTCCCATTTCAAAGAGAAAAAAACACATCGAAAGGCCAAAGGAGACTTTAATAAGAAAAGGGGAAGGAGGAAGAGACAAAGAAAGAGGGGACAAATGCTGTAACAATCAAAGCATACACACTCACTCACTTATTGTCTCATTCTTCGGTCTATTATTAAAATAATGCACTGTTGGTTTAGAAAGGAGTGAAAAACGAAATTTTTCAATCAAAAGTGACTTTGTTGTCAATCTAGTTGTTTAATGTGATCTGTTTGAGAGTGTCATCTCTTTTTTTATTTCCTTTTCCCATTTCCCAGCTGTGACAGAACCTCTTGAGTCCCTAAAAAGGCAAAAAAAGAGCAAAAAAGGACCTCGTCTATAAGTGGAAGAATAACAGAAAGAATTGTGAAAGAAAAAGTGAAGAGAAACCGGAAAATGAGATGATCTTTTCATAGAAAATGATGATGAGACATCGGTGAGTGATCTGAAGAAGCTGAAGATGGAATGGACTGATGGTAGACTGGATGAGAAGAATTGCTGATCAATATCATGATTTGATTCAAGGTTACAAACTGCAATATTTAGGCTTCAATAAATTCTAATAAAAGGAAATCGAGGGTAAAGTGTGAGTGACAAGTGAAAGAAAGAGACTCGTTGGAGAATAGAATTCTTTTGTTTTGTTTTCTGTCGTGAGAGACAAAGTTTACTTTGGTACCCATTTAAAGGGAAATTCTGAAGGAATTGAGTGGAGAAAAGAGGAGAATTGAGTGGAGAAAAGAAAAAGGAAAGGAACATTACTGACATTCAAACAAAACAAAACACACCAACACTCTTTATTTGGGGATCACATTACAGTTAATGTTTTGTGGGAATAAAGAAGGGAAATCATTGATTGAGATTTCACTGACAATGAGTCTAGTAATTGCATGTGAAAGATCAAACTACATATTAGATGTATATTAGATCAATAATCTCACGATTTTCATACCAATCAACCTGTTGGAAAGCTCTATTGTTGGGTTGAATGAATCAGATCAATGCGTGCGATTGAGTCGATGAGTCTTTGAGAATCTTTAAGAAATCGGTTTTTTGAAAGGTCTATTTAGCAAAAAAAGATATGTATCACAATAGCGAAGCACATGGAAAAAAAAGTAACTGTACATACAATGCAATCTACTGTACTGTAATGACTGTACATACAACGCAATACATCGATATCAGGGAGCTAATCAAATCAGCGCCGTGTACGAGCAGCGACACGGCAAAAAACAGCCCCTCCACGGTTAAGTTTCTATGTGTTTCTTACTCTTATTAGATGCAGAATAAAATTATCTACATTTTGCATACTTTGGGATCACTTAAAACAGAGTTGGTGCCGAGAAAAGCTAAGTTAACCTCTTTTTGAGCCCTTTTTCGTTTCTCATCCGAGATTTATTCTAAATAGCTTCAAAAAAATTCAGCAGATAACTAATTTTTTTTCTACATCGAATAATAAGAAACACAAATAAACTAAACCGCAAGCGCATTATTTTGGCCGGCGCTGTTTGTACACAGCGCTGTTTTGACCAGCTCCCCGATATCATTACTGTTGCTTTCATTTCATCCCCACATTCCCATTCCGCCCATTCCACCCATTCCACCCATTCCGCCCATTCCGCCCATTCCCATCATTCGCATCATCATCATTCGGCGTCTGGAATTCAATTTTGAACAGAATTATTCACTGTTGTAAACAACTAAACCGTTGAAAACTAACTGCATCATCATCCTTTGTCTCCACCACGGATTTCCCCATCCACCCCATGGGTTACCTAGAATTTTCCTTCTTTTTCATTGTTTTCTATTTCGATGACTAACCCATCATTCCACCCATCATCGGATTCATTCCCATCATACCCACTAAAAATACTGTACAACTATTTCAATTTGAACTCACTTCCTGGAAACCATTGAGCATCAATTGTTGTGAATAAAAATAGAGAAATGAAAAGAATAATTAAATGACGGGACATCTGAAATTTGAAGAGAAAATGAAAGCACATTAAGCTTGAAGATTTGACTTTTTAAAAAAACAATTCAAAGATTTTAAACAAAATCTAGCAAATAAAAATATTTGAAGATCGACTTGTGACGCTTTGAGAGACGCTTGTGAAAATCCTCAAAAATGAGAAATTTTTGAAAAATCTCTCTATTTTATCCCTTTTTTTCGTTAGCTTATCATTTTAGAGAGATGCTTTTTGTTTGGATAATTCGATAATTGGATAACTTCCCTTGTTTAAAAGAGAGAAAATCTCGAGAAATAATCTTTGGGAATTGCTGAGTTTCGTTTTGCAGTTTAGTTTTGCAGTTTAGTTTCAAAAAGTTTTCGGTTTGTAAGAAAGGCGAGAACTAGAGCAATGAAGAACTAGAGCAATTCTATAAGAATCCTACCGTAAATACTGTAATAGTACCCCACCCCCTCGTAAAGTCGCGTAGTCGCAAAAGTTTTTTAGTATTTAATTTTTTTCAAAGCGCCCTTACTTTCAAAAAATGCGTCTTTGGTATCAAAAAATAGCTGAAATTCAGGGCTATTTTTTGATACCTAAGCGCGCATTATAGCATAAACTAGTGTCGAGAAAAACTCGTTCAAAGCTAGACTACGCAACGCTCCGCACCGTCATTCTGGGGGTGGGGCACTATTACAGTATTTACGGTATGTTATATCATAGTTTTTCTTTTCATTTTGTATGCATTTCAACATTTTTATTGGCAAATATTTATTAGCACCTGAGAATTTGGAAAAAAAAAGTAATGTACGGAGGTTATCTTTTCATCCCCACATCAAACGGTTCAACCTAAAAATTGACTTTATTTTTTCAAGAAACAGTAAACAGTTTAAAAAAAAACTTAATGTTTTACCTGTTTTGTAATCGGAAAATTCTTCTCATCCGAAGTCCTGGGAAAAGCCCCATTCCCATTGGATATCCATAGCCCATACCTGAAAACGGACAATATTCTA